CATTGGGAAACTCATTTGTTTGGATATCATTAACAGAACAATCGGAGAGGATCTCCAGGGGGTCCTCCTGACCTTTGCTCGCAATCTCTTCATCATCCATCAAGAAATATCAGCACCTAATATGCAAGGCGAGACCAATTTTAAGGTGAGGTGTTAATTAACTAACGATCCCGGGTAATTTCTGTACAGGGCCTGCAAATACCTCATGCTGGATCATAAACAAGTGCTAAACCATTCCCTTTTCATCGTGGGTGCCGGGTGTTTTACAGTGTCTGGGTCACTGTAGGCAGCCTCCCACCGAACCCGTTAGTTAAATTTAAGTTTGAAACTTTTGCTTTGAAAAGAGACAAACTCCAGCAGGAAACTATTTGTAATCTAATGCTCCCCAGCGTCCTTTGGAAGAGCAAAGGAGCTGTTGGCACTGCCTCACACACTTCTGTCACAATTGCCTGCCTGATTTTCAAGGGACACCAACCATCAAGGTAAGAATCCGAAATTAGAAACAAACTTCCCAGTTGATAACAGCTCCTCGGATTATTAACACTGATTTCTTTTCAGCAGCAGCCACCACGTATACCCAACCCATCAGTTCCCATCCCTCCGTTTCCCAAGTGGGTTCTGTTCCCGGTTTTCCCTGCTCTTTGTGCTGCTCCTCGTGCTGTTGGAGGCTGCAGGGTGGAGGGGGAAGGAGGACAAAGCCCAGGGGCTGCTCCCCCCCGGCTGTGCCCCCTGTCCCCCAGAGGGGCCAGGGAAGCGCTAATGAATCCAACCCCGTGCCCTGGAACGCCGCTCCTCACAATGCAGCTGCTCCATTCCTCGGCATTGCTGAGCTTCCCACGGGCGCTGCTTCTGCTGAGCTGCATCACCTTTCACTCCTCACAAAGTTTCTAAGATCCGGTGTTTTGTGAAAGGTTGAGGCGAGCGGTGCTAGAGACTGGTATCTTCAATCACATCATCATAATTTCTATCAGCCTCCCCACTCTGCCCAGACTTTCCTCTGACAAGCAGAGTGTGAAGTGACAGATTTTAGGGAAGACATAATTATATTTCACAACGTTACAGAATAAACAACAGCAAAAAAATCCCTTTTTTCAATGTGAGAGAGTGAAAAGAAGCCACCGAAGAAAAATATAAAAGGGAACTTTTCTGCATTGTGAGCTAACATATGTGAAATAAAACACCTGTTAGTTAATTAGAAGCACAATTTGTATTTTTATTTACCTGAGCTTTGTACATATTTACTAATAATTCCCCCAACTGTCCCCAAAGTAACAGTAAATTTAATTGGTGCATCCTGTCCTGTGTAAGTCTCTTTACCTGTTCCAGGCAGGCACTGCCAGCTGGGGCTGCTGGATTTCATTATAATGCCCATTAAATAACTTGTATTCCTTGAATCTCTTGCAGATGGCAATTCAAGATATTGAAGCAATTCTAGGAGTTACAGCAGAAAACAAACTGAAATTGGAAGAAGAGCAACCTTGGGAAGCAGATGCTCTGAAAGAATAGTTAACAGAAAGTGTTTTAAGTGCCTGATTCCTTATGCCTCTGGAGGTGCTTCCTCATCTGTAAGAACAGGTTTGGTTTTTTCCTCCTGTGTTGGTGTGTGAAGCAACATTAACTGAGAGAGAACATCTCCATCATTTCTGGGTGTGGTGTTTGGAATATCCCTTCTTTCCCAAAAAAAAAAAAAAAAAACCACAAACCCTGTTGAAGAGCAGGGGGTGATCCTGATGCTCCTCTTGTTGGTGTTGCTGAAGTTCAGTGTCTTGTTTTAAAACCTTATTAATGGGGTCACAACTGTCACTAATCAGAGCAGATCAGACTCCACTGAGAAGAGCCCTGAGACCCCACATTCCCTTTCCAACAGACTGTGATCTGAAACCCAGATTCCTGGCAGGAAAACAGGGCCAGTGTTGGACCTGTGGGAGCGAGTGCAGAGGAGGCACCGAGAGGATCCGATGCCATCCCTACCAGCAGCTCTGCTGGGAGGAAAGGCTGAGACAACTGGGAGTGTTCACCTGGGAAAACTCTGGGGAGACCTAATTGGGGCCTGCCAGGACCTGGAGGAGCTACAGGAAAGATGGAGAGAGACCATTTACAAGGGTGACAGGACACAGGGAATGGCTTCCCACTGCCAGTCATTCCATGACTTTTGCAGGTCTCTCCATCAGGTAGATTTTGTTATATCAGATATTTTTTGTCGCAGTTGCTGTGCGCTGTATCAAGGCCAACAGTTACATTTCTAAAATTATCTTCAGTGTCCCAAGAGAGAACACATTCTGAATTTTATTGTAGAATCTTCTTTTATTATAGCATCTTCTCCGTGGGATGGAGACTATTATCCCAAGCATGGCAAGTGTCTTTGGGATTACTTCCCAAAAACCTCGGGGAACACCAGGTTTAAGGCAAACACTGAATGTGACCAAGATCAGTGCCCAGTTTTTCCAGTGCTGACTCGTTGATCCCTGAGCATCCCACATTATCTTTTGTGTAGCCTTTCTCTCTTCCACTTTGGTCACAGAATTAATTAATTGCAGATGAGAACATTTGCATAAATGCTGATCCCTGCTTCGAACAAAAATCCAAGGGAGTATTTTTGTTTAATTCCTGGGTTTATTCCTTTTTAATTCATAATCTCAGTCTAGTCTTGGATTTGGATGTAGCAGAGCCCACACAGATTTTTCGGAGGTGGAACTGAGCTGGACTCTGAAGGGTTAAGGAAAAGCAAGCCTTGATCCAAGCCAGAACAACATAAGGTCTGAGAGGCTCATTAGTTCACTGGCACTTAATAGACTGCAGTGTCCTGGGAGGAAATGAAACCTGCACTTCCTTCTGGCTTTGTTCTGCCCTGACAAAAGAAAACTGTACCTGTTTTTGCAGGAAACAAGTGACCTGAAAGTTCCCGTGGTGAGAGAGATTTCTCAGCGTGTGCAAAGTGTGAAATGTATTTGGAGGGGGGGAAAAAAAAAAGTTTTTAATTACTATTAACACTTCTGAGCCTTGAGCTGAGGGAAGGATTGAAACTGCTTGACAGTCTCTCACATTCCTCTCCCGTGCTGTTGGTGCCAAAAATTTAGGGGCTTTAGGAATACAGCAGATAGAAAATGAAATTAAAATCTTAAAAAAAAAAAAAAAAAAAAAGGTGATGTCCACAGCTGGAAATGAAGGTGTTCAGCTGACAGCACTTTGTGGATTTTGTGTTTGCAGAATTGATGTGCTGTGTGTAGAGAGGTCGTTTTTCTGGGAGAGCATCACCTGGAGTTGATGACATTGGAAACTGGGGCTCCTGTTTTAGGTAGTTGGGTTTACAGCCCTGGATAAAAGATAAAACTAAAACATTCAGCCACGTTTCTACATTTAGAATGACAACTCTTGAGCACAGAGCAAAAATGCAGCTCTTCAGCACATCCACCTCACTGAAAATCAGGAGAATTTCCCACCTTCCATCCAGGTTAAGGTAACAAATCCCTGGATTTTTAGGACTAACCTGGTCCTCAGCATTTCACAGTGCTCAGTTGACATCAGTTGAAGTAACATCAGATTAACAGTGGGATGCTGTAGATCTATGTCTGGATTCCTCTGTATGTCACTAGAGACTGCAAATTTTGTTACAGCACTTAAGATTTAGGAACTGCAATCAGTGACAGCCTCAATAAATGTAATTTAATATATTGTGGCCACAAAATAATTCTTAAGCTGCAGCACCTTAGTTCAGCTGTATGACACTCAGTACCACACTCCAGCTTTTCTAAGCTCACTGTTGCCACTAATAGATAAATATATATAAATAATGATATTAAAGCTAACTATATGCTCCATTAATTATAGGAAGGTGAACTTGAGTCAAATTTGTTGCTGGCAATGATGAATAATTACTGGTTCTCCACTCATGTAGTACATTACAGTAAATAAACGGGGCACGTTGTTGGGCAGTAATTGATTAATTAGCAGGTTCATACCAGATAGCTCCGTGGTTTAAGATTGCTGAGTTTGAGATATTGCTTGCAATTATTGAAAGGAAAAACCTGTTTCCATTTCTCAGGGTTTTTTTGGTTGTTTGGTTGGGGGTTTTTTGGTTGTTTGTTTGTTTGTGGTTTTTTTGCTTAAATACAGTGTTTAATGGTTCAAAACCTTGGCTTTTATTTAGAAAAACGGAATATGGGAATATTTCTCTTTGAGGTGTCTGACACTTGAACAGTTTTTAGTGTGGTATCGTTGTGGAGCGTGGTTTTAAAGTATTTCTCTTTGAAGGGCCCTGACATTTGAAAGAAGGATTTTTTTTTTTAGGGCTGTGTGACTGTTTATTTTCACTACATAAAATCAACACAGCCGAATACAGTTTCTCCTGAGCGCAGGTGAATCTGGTCCGTGCTGCAGGTGCAAGAGAGGTGGTTCTGGCACCACGTCAGTGTCACCAAAACCCCTTTAAGAATGTAATTGTCCTTTTTTTTTTTTTTTTGTGATGTTCTCACTGGTCCCTCGGTCCGGGTGGGGCTCAGGGTGACCCTCGCCCATCAGGTGGGGCAGTGTGTCTGTCACAGAATCAGGGAATCACCGAGGCTGGAAAAGCCCTCCCAGCCCATGGATCCCCCCTGTGCCCCATCCCCACCTTGTCCCCCAGCCCAGAGCACTGAGTGCCACAGCCAGTCCTTCCCTGGACACCTCCAGGGCTGGGCACTCCAAACCTCCCTGGGCAGCCCCTGCCAAGGCCTCACCACCCTTTCCAGGGAGAAATTCCTGCCGATGTCCCACCTGCCCCTTCCCTGGCACAGCCTGAGGCCGTTCCCTCTCCTCCTGTCCCTGTTCCCTGGGAGCAGAGCCCGACCCCCCCCGGCTCCCCCCTCCTGTTAGGGAGTTGTGGAGAGCCAGAAGGTCCCCCCTGAGCCTCCATTCTGATCTCCCTCAGTCTGATCTCCCTCAGCCGCTCCCGGTGTGTCCGCGGTGCCGCGGCCCGGCCGTGCCCTCCCCCCGGCGCAGGCGCGGCTGTTCGGGGCGGCCGTGCCGGGTCCCCGCGGGATGCGGGCGGTGCGGAGGCTGCATGAGGCGGCCGTGGCGCTGCTGCTGTGGCGGGGCCCGGGCCCGGCCCGGCCCGCGGCCTCGGAGGTGCTGAGCCAGCACCTGCGGCAGCGCCGCCTGCCCCACTGGACCTCCTTCTGCGTCAAGTACAGCGCGGTGCGCAACGACCAGTTCGGGCTCTCGCACTTCAACTGGCCCGTGGACGGCGCCAACTACCTGGTGCTGCGGACCGGCTGCTTCCCCTTCATCAAGTACCACTGCTCGCGGGCCGCGCCGCAGGACCTGGCGCTGCAGAACGCCTTCTTCACCGCGCTCAAGGTGCTCAACGCCGGTGAGTGCGGCCCGGCTGGGCCCGCGGGGAGGGATCGGGCACGGCCTGAGGGGGAAAGGCGCCCGCGGGGAGGGGGGGCCGGGACGGTGGCGCCGAGCGGGGAGCTCCGGCCCTTCTCCCTCTCCTCCCTGTCCCCGTCACCTTGTCTCCCTTTTCTCCGCCTCCCTGTCTTCTCTCCCCTTGTCCCCTCTCTTTGCTCTTCTCCCCTGCATTTCATTCTGCAGCCCTCTCCTCGTCCCTTGCTCCCTCTGTCCTTCTCTCCCTTCTCCGCGTCCCTTATTCCTCTCTCCTTGTCCCCTTCCCCTTATCCCCTTCTCCATGTCCCTTTTCCTCTCTTTCCCCGTCCCTCTCGCCTTCTCCCCGTCCCCCCTTTGTCCCCCTGCTTGTCCCGGAGGGGGCTCCGGGAGTTCAGAGAGACCCCCGGGAGGAGGCCGAGCTGTCAATCGATCCTGGGGGAGCTGTGACCGAGTTCGCGTTTCTCTGGCCCCTTGTGACAGCGGCGAATCCAACGCGCCAGCGCTTGGGGTTTAAACGGCTCTCACCTTCAGTAATGGAGCGTTTTCCAGCTGAAAATCTGGTGCTGCGGGTGAAGGTCTGTCCTCTGAGTGAATGTATCAGCTGAAGGCAAACTCTGGTTCTGGGCTGGTCTCTGCCTCTTCCGCACCGGCAGTGTCTGCTTTGATCCTCATGTGCTGCTGGAATATAAATCCTCATAATCAAAATGCTCCATCAGCACCTCATCGTTAATATAAAAGTAGCTATAAATAAGTTTTGAGACACATTCATTCAAAACTTTGTCTCTCAATGTAATGCTTGTAAATGCTGGCAGTGACAGTGGCATAACATTTTGTAAGTTCGTTGTTTTTCATATTTAATTTTTAAAAATCTCCTTCACAAGTCACCAGTGACTTTTTTCTGAGGCATGTCTGCTGGTCTTAATTTCCTGATCTTTCCAGACTGATCTGGTGAGAAAATACAGTCACAGGAACTGATTTTGTAATAACAACTTTAAATTTGGGGGTTTTTTTTCCTCCATCCAGTCAGACCTTTTATCTTTCTCACAGCTCCCTGCGTGTAGATTTAAATTATGGCAAACCATGATTAAAAAATCACCTCACCTCCCTCACAATCTTGCTTAAGCATTTGGATAAGTTCAAGCACGTTCAATTTGGTGTTTCTGAACCTTCCTGAACTCAGGGCCTAAGCCCATCTCCATTTTTTCCTCTGTAAAAAATAAAATATTGTCTGTAATAGATGGGTAACTTGGCAGTGCTAAAAAATGTGTCACTTTTTGAGTATAAACCTTTCTGCCCGTTGCAGTTCTCTTGGGGTTGGGTCTGATTTCCCAAGAGCATGTGTGTGTGTGTATATATATATATATATATATATAACTGGTAGAAATCAGGCTGTATGCATGACCATGTTTCACTAATTCCATATCATTATCCTCCCATTTTGTTTTCTAATAATTCCTGTGTATTCCTGCTTTTCTTTAGCTGTTTCCTGACTCCTGTGTGCTCAATACACAGCAAGGGTGTTTTGTCCTGAGAGCTGCATTTGAGTAAAGGCAAAATTACAAAGCAGCTTTTCCAGGGCCGCTTTCCCTCCCGTTTCATTTCGGAGTCGTCATTTACTGTTAATTTGCAGTTTGATTTTCCCTGCCTCGCTCTCTTTGTGTGTAACATGTTTTTGTCTTTCCCTAGGCATCCCAACTTTACTGTATGGAATTGGCTCCTGGTTCTTTGCCAGCGTCACAGAGACTGTTCAAACGAGCCATGGCCCAGTTACTGTTTATTTCCTAAATAAAGAAGATGAAGGAGCCATGTACTGAACTCAGGCCTTCAAGTCCCTGTTGTTTGGTGATTTCTGCTGCGAATATTTGCTCCCTTTGACTAAAAAGAACCGAAGGAAACTGTTACTTTCTTACAGTGCATCCCCATTTTTAATGTGCTGCTTCAAGAAGCTTCCTGGACTTTTTGGTCACGAGAGATTTATTTCTGCAGAGGTCAGTAAAGTTGCAGAGGTAGAAGCTTTGGGGGAAGAATTAATATTTCTGAGGGTGTTTATGGCAGTCACTGACTGGTACTCCTGGACAAAGTTTTGATAATTTAAGATCATTTAGCAGATTAGAGAACTGAACTGTAGCCTGTGAACAAGTAAATGTGAACATGAACACACTGACGTTTTCAGAATGTCTCTGAAAAGATGAAACTGCTCAGGTTTACACTCTGACAGGATGTTTTGTTGTCATAGTTGCAAATATGTCTGAATGAATTTGTGGCACTGACTTTACAATCACCTGGAAGAGCCTTTGGGAAAAAAATACCCTCCTGAAAATTTAAAAATGGCTGTATCACATTTCTTTAAATGATATTTCAATAAAGTATTTAAAATACATTTGCTGTTTGTATCTTTTGCAATTCTTAAACTCTAGGTGTGTTATTATTTTTAATTTTAGTGGCTTTATAGGTAAGTCACAAAACCTAAGTGATCTAGAAGATTCAGTCCTCTGGGCTAATTTACAAGTTGCTGATATTTTTAATTAATACAGGAGAATAAGAACATTCCTCTCTTTTTTCTTTTTTTTTTTTTTTTATGCAAATAACTGATTTCTCCAGTTGTAACAGCAAAACTTGCAGGTACGTGTAATGACAGAATGACTTCAATTCAATTGGAAACCTGGGCAGAGAAGAAGCTTTTGGGGAGCTATTTGGACAGTGGAAATGTGGAATTATCGGGCATTAATTTCAAGCAACAGAAAGACCTGGACAGGATCTGTTCCTGGTGCTTGGTTTTAGTGCCACCAAACAATGCTGTTGGTTCCAAATCCCACGGCTGGTGATGTAAGTTGGTCGTTCCAGTTTTCAGAGGGAGGAAAATAAATGTAAAATTGGAGGGTGCTGGTTTGGGAGGGTAATCTCTGCTCCTCAGTAGATTATTGTCAAGCTTTGATTGCAGTATAATTTAATTTAAATGCTTTTTTCCCGAATTCCATGGAAGTGTTTCCCCACTTAATGAAGCAACACGTGAGCGACACGGAACCCTCAAATCAGGGAGGTGCTTGCACTGTTCAGTTTTGGAGGATGTTCTGGGCACCAGTTAACCGTGTCTCCAAGATGAAGAGATGGCATTACCAGAGCCCTCATTAATAATAAAAGCTGCTGTTAGCATCTTCCCAGAGCTGCTTTTGCCTGTGAAAGAACTGCAGCTCATAAGTTTAAAGTCAAACACTGCTCATTCGTTGCCACGCAGCTCGTCGATACCTGGCTGTAAAGGTTTGGGCTCCGCACAGGCTTGATAAAATGGTTTTTAATTACCAGCCCATAAATACAGCTCTTCAAGGGAGCTGGTGCTGCTCTCACTGCGGCTCGTTTGATTTCTGATAATGGGCACTGCTGACTTTGCTTACCTGGTTTTCAATAACTGCAGGCAACGCCTCCTTGTCCATACAGTGATGGGCCGGGCTCCTTGGAGAACATCTCTGACAAACTACCCTATTGATCCCTGCAATTCTGTGCTGCTCACAGCATTAAATGGGGCCCTGATTTCTTGTTCAATGATCTCACTGTGTAACAATTAAGCAAATGTAATATTTTCTTGTATTACATGGAAATCAATAGACCTCTTGCTCTTACGAGGCTGATCGTGCTGAAGGATGAACTGGAAGATGTCTGAGGGCAGAGTGCAAATATAGTATCATTTATTCCTTCCATCAAGGCTCGTGTGGGAGCTCTTCCAGGATTTCAGAGGGAAAATGGGCTCTTTAGAAGGGATAATGCTCAAGTTGCAATGATTTTCAAGTATGAATATAAACCTGCTTGCTTTTCTTTAAAGGTAAAACAACTCACCTGCCTTTCCCTCTCTTTTTGCTGTCAGTACATGCTGCAGTGGTTTATCACTTACATGTTTTTTATCACTTAGGTTTTGGCTTGAATGCAGGATGGAAATACTGGTGGCCAAGAGGATTCACAGCACCTTGTCCCAAAACTTCCTGGGGGGAATAACTGATCCCCAAAAATGACCCTTCTGCCTTGACAGATTTGCTCTTCCGTTTGAAGCAAAGCCCAGTTCGTCTTGCAAGCCTTAATTGTCTCTGCTGTATTCAAGAATGATGTTTAAATGAGGGGGGAGCTGATGTTTAAAAGGCAGAGAGCTTTGTTTCACCTCACTTAACTACTCCAGAGAGATGAAACCTCAGCCTAAGCCCGGAGGATCAGGTGGCTCCTCCTCGTAGCATCTCTTTAAACAATTCATGACTGTTGGGGGCATCTTAACCCGAAGGAGCTCTTGGTGTTCCACCTCACCCGGGGTCAGGGGGCTCAGGTATCCCAGTTAAACTGTGCTACTGTAAATTAATGGAAAATGTAACTGCTCTGCTGAAAGATCAATGTCCAATAAAGGCTGCACAATCAAATCTTGTTGTGATGATTGAGGCCCTTAATTGCCTCCCCCAGATAAGGTGGTAATCAGCACGGGTGGAGCTGATCTGTGTTCCCGGTTCAATGACATGCTAATGAGAGCCGGCCCAGGCAGGAGCTCTAACCACTTCCACTTATTAAATCTTACGTTTGCCGTGAGAAATGACTTGAGCCCCACGATCGATAAAGCCCAGGTCTTAATTACTATATTTCACTTTTATACCTGTTTTGTATGTTTGACAGATGTTTCTCCACAGGCTCTGCAGCTCTAATGAGAGTTACCCCAAGAAATGCCCTTTTCTGGTGGTGTCTCCTCCACGTGGTGCTAACACAGAGGTGGGTCTGGTTGTTTGAAAGAAGTTTTGTGACTAGGAATGCAAACGTGGGCCAGGCAGCCCGTTCTGCTGAAATATTCTGGGATATGACATCACTCCTTGTATCACTGGTTGATGTAATTCTTGCTAAACCTCCAGGTGGACATGAAGTTTCTTACCTTTTTTTTTCCCCCATTGTAAATTATTATTGGATTTAGATACTGGTCAGGATTGATATTCCCAAGTGTTTCTGATGAGTACTCTCCTATTATCTCAAAAACCATTTCTCCAACTCTTCAGGGACACCTGGAGCCACCTGACCTTCCACTGACTTGAGCAGAAGTTGGATCTGTCCTCAACTTACCTTTTGTATTGACCTAAATCTCTTTGCAAAGCAGAATTAAAGCTCTCCCTGATGTACATTATTATTGAATAAAATTCAGCTATTTCTTAATAGCTGGATGCCCTCAGGCCTCTGCTTTAAAGCAACTTGGCCTGAAACAAAGGAGAATTTGCTTCATATATTATTTACTTTGGCCATTTAATTTAAATTGCCTTTTGCTGTAGCTCCTTACTCATGTTCACTGCAGAGAGGTAAGTTAATAAATCTAAGGCTTGTCTTGATTTCTTTCCCTGGCTCTGGAAACAGATGTCATGTTACACTTCCTGGGCTGTGTTTTTCAGTTTAAATACACCTAAGAAAAAGTGGCAACTCCAGCATTGCATCGAGGGGATGGAGAATAAAAATTGCCCTAATTTGTTTAAAAGATTTATTTCTGGAAAAGAATAAGATGTTGGTTTGGCATTTCAGTCTTTTAAAAAGCAAAGTATGACTTAGAGTGATTTCAAAAGCAATTGCATCACTTTAGGCACAGTTGATGAGCCCTGCTCTAGTTCATGAGAAAACCAATGGATGACTTTCAGTGATGTTAATAATCCTAATAGAATTAACCCCATAAAACGTGATTAAAAACCAAAAAGTTTGATCAAGGAAACTTTCAAGCTTAAAAGGCAAATTTCAAACTTTACCAGCTGATTTTTCTTTTGAGCAGGATTACGAAGCCAACCCTGGTTTTATTCTTCCACGAGGAAATGCCATTAGATCTGATTGTAACGTGCCTGGTGATTCATGGGCCTGCTCGTCCACTTGCTTTGTGAGAGATGAATTATTTAGTAAGAAAAATCACAATAATTTTGTTGTTACTCAAGAATTTATAGGTTGACAGGAAAACAATTATGCAGCCCCTGCAGCTGATGGGGGACAGGACATCATTAACCACACACAGCCACCTTGCCTCAGTCCAGCTGCTGGAGTTACATGTGCTGTAATCTGCTTTATTTCAGTGTATCTTCATCCTTTAAAGCAAGAACTAAAGATTTATTAATTCAGCCTAAATCAAGTTTACCTTTGTTTTGGTTTTTTTTTTTTTCCACTCCAAAAGTAGTTTACCGCGAGGAAGAGCCTCAAAAGATCTATTTGAGGCCTGATTCTCCTCCCTGTAAATTGAAAATAAGATCAATTATTTCCTGATATTTGGTTCACAAACTCTCCTTTGCCTCTTATTCCAGAGGAACTGCAGTGTGTCTGCGAGGGCTGGTGGGGAGGCAATTTTGGGCAAGTTTAAATGCCAGTTTTAAGGAGTCTTTAACCCATCCATGTATTGATTAAGGTGGAACACTTGGTGATTCTTTCTAGGAGCTGCCTTTGAAAGAAGGATGTGTTTAGAAAGCCTGGACACTGCTGCCCTACTTTTTTCAGGAGCCTGAGGGAGTTCAGTTTGCTGCACTCAGGAGCTGCTGGAAAACGTGGGAAGGAGGAAAAAAAAAAAGAAAAAGGTAGATTTCAATCCATTATTTTATAAACAAGTATTAATATCCTTTTTAAAAGACAGGAGATCGTGGGCTCCTAAAACAACAATCAGTTGCCTTTTTTTTTTCTAGGGAACGAAGAGCTTGGCCTTTGTTATTTTTTTTTGTATTTTTTAATTTCTACCCAGAAACTGGCACAGGGTGAAGCAGAGAATGATCAGCTGAATTCAGTGAACCAAGGACTGGCATATTGATCCCGATTCCTGGAGCCTGTTTTGTGCACTGGATCAAATCCCATGTAAGTGGTACTGGGATACGGCATTCCAAAGCATTTTAATAGTTAAATGTTGGTCGGTAGGATGTAGTAAATACATGTTATTCCTGTGGCAAATCCCAGCAGCAGTGAGGTTAAATTCCCAGAGGTGCTGAGCAGGAGCTGTGATGAAAATGTAGGACTTTCTGAGTCCATCCTCAGCCTCTTCCCTGTGCCCCCTGCCCTTTTATCCAGGGATCTGAGCCCAGGGCTGGAGGAATTTCGGGTCCCAATTTTGGTTGTGCCCTGTAACTCCTGACAGGGCACTTCCCACCTCCATCAGCCTGATCCAGCCCCGAGACT